CCTCCGTTAGGGGAACTTCATAAAATCTCTTGTCGTGCCTTTAAGCGTCATCTAGTCATAGATTATTTTCTCCACCAAGAATTGATTCCTGCTCTCTCCCCCTCCACCCTTCTCGTCCCCCCTCCCTACGGTTGTTATTTTCTCTTGGATCCAATAAATTAAAAATGGATGGCAGCTCAGAAAGTGTTGTGTTCCGTCGAGTGTGCGTGTGGTGGCGTTTCCGTGTCGCCTGGAGTCCCAGCCCCTCCCCGAGTGTTCACGGAGAGGAGATGAAAAGATCTCTTCGTAGATTATGGGTAAGCATGGGCTTGCTGGCAAGAGCTCCCTCTTCGTAGGAAGCAGGTGTAAAGTCTCCAGTCGGATGCAAGCTCAGGCGGATGGATGCTGAACATTTCTTGTAAACATGCGTACACATCATGATGGCGGTTGTGACGTTGGTGGCACACGATTTTAAGAGCCTGGGACCCATCCCCCCACATCCTTCCCCTTCCCACCCCCGTCATCACTGAAACAATAATTCTGTATATGTTTCTCCTGGACTGTAGCTTAGCCATTAAAGATAAGAGAGTTGGATTTGAATTAATGCAGGGTAAGGAGGAGCAGCAGCCCATGTGCTATGTATGTAGCAATGTACATGTGTGTGTGCAGGCAGCCACGCACATGCCCGGTGCTCTGGGGACAGCAGGCAGCAGACCTCTCGGCTGGAGTTCCCCTAAGGGCAGGTGCATGGGCAGTTGTTAGAGATGGAACAGGGAGGGCGGGGCCCTTGGCACCCTCTGTGTGGGGGAGTCACTGGCCAGGTAAGGCCCTGCTGAAAGCTTGCAGCTGCTGGGGGCTTGTTGACTGCTTGGCTGGGCCTGTGTTAACGATGTCTTTCCATTTCTGTCTTCTGCCTCAAATTCCTTCGCAGCAAAGCCCAGCATGGGGAAGTTTGTCTTGGGATCAAGTGCTTCCCTTTTCACTTAACAACGATGTCCATTATTATTTGTGAAGCCTGATTTCATTGCTTCTAAATGCATTTACCAGCTGGGAGGAGGCCTGGCCTTGTAAATAAAATGTGGTTTTGTTGTAAAAGAAAATCTAACTCGTGTGTTTGTGTGTGTGTGTGTGTAAATACAGATTTGTCCCTTCACTTTAGGATTGAGCATTTCGGAATCCACCTCAGCCTTCTGATAGCTGCTTTGTCCCTTCACTTTGGGATTGAGCATTTCAGAATCCTCCTCAGCCTTCTGATAGCTGCCTTTCGAACAAGTTGCCTGCTGCATCCCTTCATTTTTCCTCTTAATGAGTCAAACATTTTAGCAATCGCTCTACTTTATTCGGCTCATAATATATTGAGAGCAGCAATATTCTGCAGGGCTGCCCGACACTTGGGGAGCTTTTCATGGAAGCAGAGATCATCTCAGAAGAAAACCTCGTCTTGGCTTTATTTTTTTTAAGGCCCGAGTTTGCTGGACAAGACTGCATGAGAGGCTGGTCTGTAGGGTCTGGGAATTGGAAAGGCTGTTTTCATTGGTCTTTTTCCTGGTGCTTTTTCGTCTCTGGGTGGCAGGTTGGACCACTCTGCCTGTTAGAACAGAGGTCTGGTTCTCTGAGGCTGTGCAGAGCCGGGAGACTCAGGTGTCCATAGGGCAGAGAAAGCGGGATGTCCCTTTGCCCTTCCCAGGGCTTGGCCAAATGTTTTTCTCCTTTTATTTCTTCCATTATCGATACAGTTCTAAGGAGGGACACATGCACACTTATGCAGGCACCCTACACGCCCAGCTCGGTATCAGCTTGCCAGCGGAAATGAAACCACAGTCTTTGGGGGTGTCTACAAAGGCCTTGAACGTGAGCTTTCAGGCCCACTTGGTCCACTTACTCTGACCCAGAAATTTGGGGCTGGGGGTGACTCTGCTGCCTGATGTTGGGGGTGACCTTGCTCCCTTCCTGGGAAGTGTCGCACACAGCAGGCCAAGGCACAGCCCCACAGCCTGGGTGGTGGGGAGAGGAAACCCTGTTCTTTGGAATCGGGTGAACACCCTGTCATCTCAGGGGGTTTGACTTTCAACGCTGAAAGTGGGAGGGGAAGGAGATTGTTTTTGTCTGTTTCTTTTCCTCCCAGACTCCCTTAGAGGCAGTGAGTTGGATCTCTGGTCTGGGAGGTGGAGATCCCAGCTCAGAGCTGAGCCCTGGAGCCCTGGATAATCCCGGGGCTGTCTCGGGGACGCCAGCAGGGCCTGGCTCCCAGGTTGGTTGGCTGCTAGGACTTGACGCAGAAATCAGAGCTGCAGCACAGCAAACGGCTTTGGACACCTTCAAACCCAATTACAGGGGCTCGCAGGGCTGCTGCATGAGGAAAGTGAAAAAGCAGAGACTGCCAAAAAAAGGAAAGAATACCAGATGTTACCAAAAATAAAAATTAAAAAAAAAAAAAGAAGAGAAAGGAAAAAGTGCTGGTACATAGTCTTGGCAAAAGAGGAAGCTGAGAAGGAGAGGTGCTTGTGAACAGGCATGTGTGACCTCTGCTAATTTTTAAATTCATCTGTGTTTCTTTTGAATTAGAAAATGAATATGAAATTATGTAGTTGAAAACCTCCCAGCAGAGAGGAGATACTTAGGCTTGCTAGAACTACTCAGGAGGGCGGACCAGGCTGAAAAAGTTAATAAAAAAAAACAAACAAAAAAGTAAACCGAAGATTAAATTTAAAAAACCAAGAAAACCTCTTCGCCCTCAGAAAGGACAGTCAAGTTGGCCCTGTGGATTTGTTGTTGTTTGTTTTGATCAAATCTTCCCTCGATGCAGGAGTTTCCCAGGCCTGGACAGGGTGGCATTTAAAATAGTACCAGGTACCGCACCTCGCCCCTTTTTCATTTGAATTCTCAATTTCATTATGTCCTTTTTTGCTTTTCAGCTCGTTTCTTTTGTGCCTCTCTCTCTATTTTTTAACAAAACAATATTTTGACATCCTCCTCCCATTTATTGGAGCACCTTCTGTAAAAATGGCGCACAATACATCCTTATATTTCTAAAGAACTGTTTTTACAGCCCTCTCCTTTGGCTCTGAAATTATGTATATGTAATTGGTAATTAAAGGTGCGAGCTTTTCAATATAAACAGTATTGCTCAATGTTAGATCATTAAAGGGAAAAAGAGGCACCAAATAATTACCTTTTACATTCTGACAAACCGTTCACAGGAATCCAGTCTCCCCTAGAACCTCTGTTCGGTGGGAAGGTTGTGATTACATTTTAACCATAGCAAAGCATCTTTTCATAAAATAAATTGGTAAATTAATTACGTGGCATTGTCTTCAAACCCCTTTTTAAGTAAACTCCTATTTCTTTTTAAAGTGTAATTAATGGTTTCTGGGACTGGCTTTGTGAGGACTGTTTCTTTACCTTGTAGGTTCTTTTTGTTAGAGAGATGCAGACAACAGATTTAGGATTTCCTCGTCTGCGGGGCGTTTTTGTACTGCCACATTTCTGATGCATTCTACATTTAATTCATCGAGGGCTCTGTCTGCTTTTCTGTAACCACAGATGGGATCTCAAATGGTAGTTTCTCTTCTTAGCGATACCTACATCGCTACCTGTCCACACACAGTTCATACGTGTGCGTTGTACGTCACGTGTCGTTGTATATTCCATATTCAGTTTCACACATGGACTCTCCTAGGCCCTGCATAGGCTCGTGTTCAGAAAATAGAGAACAGTGATTTATGTGTAGGATGGGAGATGCCACAGAATTTTTTCCTTAAATTATCTGTTCTTTGGCTCTGGCACTTCAATAACTTCACTGCCACGGAATGTATTTTCCTCCCTCCCATTCCTTCTCCCCGTTCCTCTGTGGTTTTCATTATCCTTTCCTAAATACCATACAACTTCAAATTTACCTGCCTCCTCGGGTTTCAGACCTTTGGCTGCCCTCTGGCTTCTCTGAAGACCCCGCCACTCGTGCCTTCTCTACGACTACTGACATTTGCTCTCGAAAAATTCCAGCCCGAAGTTGCTCAGACCCCGAGGGGAATATGAAACCTCCACACTGTCCACTTCTCTTTATTTATGACACTTTCTGCTGCTGAATCTTCCAATTTTCCCTTGAGGAGGTTGCTGCTTTTTGAGGCATTTATTAGCTTCCAAATATTTGGGTCCTAGGCTCCCTACTCCCCCCCACCCCCACAAAAAAAACCCAAGAGAAATCTATCGGCTGCTAAAGAAATATAAACACACACTGTCCGTTGAAAGTGTGGTTTGATATCTTCTAAGAAATGCTTTTGGAGTCTGGAGAATTTTCTTTCTTTCATTTTTCTGGGAGTGAAAATAAAATCAACAAACAGAAAAGGACAGTGGGGAGTTGATGAGTATGGGGAAATCTACAGAGAAAGGGAAGTCTGACCGGGCCCCGGGTGCTTGGCAGGGAGAGCCGGCTTCCCAACTCTGCAAGCCGGTTCCAGCCTCCCTTCTGCTGCAGTGCTTTCTCCTAAGATATTTTTTTGGAACCTGACACTCACTTGTTGCTTTCTGAGCATGTGGGCTTCCTTCTCTCCTAAGGACGGACCCCGAGACGCCCATCTGGGTTTCTGTTTTCTAGTTTGGTGTGTTTCCAGGTCCCAGGTAGAGGAATGTCAGTGGGATTCGCATGAATGGGGAGGGCATGAATGAAGGTGTAAGGGATGGGAGGGGTGGGGCTCCAGCCCAGCAGGGGGAAAGGGTTCCAGCTCACTGGTTCTCAGCCCTGGCTGCCCATTGGAATCACCTGGGGAGTCTGAAAGAATATTCCGATGTTTGTTCCCAGGGTAATTGGTCAGGGGGATGCTGCCTGGACCTTGGGATTTTTCAAAGCCTCCAGGTGATTCTCAGATACTGGAAACTTTGAGAGACATGTCACGATCTCATGCTGTCAGCAGCCACGGTGTGTGTGTTTGCGCGTGTGTTCGTGTGTGTTCTTATACTACGTTGGTGAGAAACTGGCAGAAAATAAACTAGAATGCAGTAAGATCAGCACTACTTATGTGGCAATGCCCAGGGGGCATGACGTTGCTCCTAGAGCCTCAGTGTGTGCCCGTCTGTCCCGTGGGGGATGCTCACCAGCCCCCAACCCCAGGGAGGACCTGGTGAGCTCTAGCAGCCAACAGCAGTGGGGTCTGCTTCTTGGTGGGGATGGGGTGGACCGGAAGTCGGGTGCTGTGACCGCCTAAGCCCATCTCTATCTTCTCTGCCCCTTCCCTTTCTTCTTTCTGTCTCCAGCAGAGGCTGACCATGTGGAGGCTGCCATCCTCGAAGAAGACGAGGGTCTGGAGATAGAGGAGCCAAGTGGCCTGGGGCTGATGGTGGGTGGCCCCGACCCTGACCTGCTCACCTGTGGCCAGTGTCAAATGAACTTCCCCTTGGGGGACATCCTGGTTTTTATAGAGCACAAAAGGAAGCAGTGTGGCGGCAGCTTGGGTGCCTGCTATGACAAGGCCCTGGACAAGGACAGCCCGCCGCCCTCCTCACGCTCCGAGCTCAGGAAAGTGTCCGAGCCGGTGGAGATCGGGATCCAAGTCACCCCCGACGAAGATGACCACCTGCTCTCGCCCACGAAAGGCATCTGTCCCAAGCAGGAGAACATTGCAGGTATGGGATGCTGTGCTTGCCTGGTTGCTGCAGAAGCCACTGCCGGGGTCCCACGCCCTCTGTCTGAGTGTACTGGTGCAGGGGAAGGCCCAGGGGCTTCCAGGATGGCCTCTGGGCCACCAGCCAGGACTCCCCCTTTCTGAGGGTCCACCATCCAGGTGACCTTCAGGAGGAGACAGGCCTGGGGCTCGGGGAGGCCCAAATGACTGATGGCTGCTTGCTTTTGGTGAGGGGACTCTGTCTCAGGGGCTAATCCAGAGGTGGTCAGAAGCACAGAATGAAAATTTGGAAGTCTGGTTGGCCCTCTCTTTGCTACTGATCTCGGCTTAGTCCCTGATTTTGAAGCTACACAGTCTTGGGTTAGAATTTGTCTTCACAACTTGGACATGTCAGTTTGCCCATCTATGAAATGGAGCTAAGGAAACCCACCTATTAGGGTTGCTGTGAGGATTAATGAGCTGTTGCATGCGGCATGACCTGGTAGGCACTTAGGAATGGGAGTGCTTATTCTCTCCCCTCTCCTTTCTCTCTGGACTCAGTTTCCCATGTGTGAAAAGAGGAGTTAGGCCCCCTGATCTCAGACGTTGCTTCTGACGTTGCCTGACCCCAGGGGCTGGTCCCAGGCAGGGGTGTGGGAACTTGTTGGAGCACTGTGCCCGTTGGGGGAGGTTGGACATGCCCTTTGACATGCTCACTCATTCGACCACTGGGACAGCTGGTTTTACCACCTTGAGAACAGGTCTAGGGCCCCTCTGTCCCCAGGCATGGGTCTGCTCACCACAGTGAGTTAGCATGAAGTCCCTCCCTCTTGGCCAGCACCATGGCATGCTGGAACCTCTTCCGGGGAGCCACTGCTTTCTGTGCAAACCAGAGTGTTTGTTTTTGGTTTATACTTCTGAGCCCAGGAGGCCTGGGGGAGAAAGGAGGGCCTGGCCAGCCTGGGTTCCCTAAAAAGCAGCAGCCCGTCCTGGAGCAAGACGGGCATCAGAGTTTATGCAGACGAGTCTTCAAATCCTGATGGTTGACTTTGGGTTAGCCACTTCATGGGTCTGAGCCTCAGTTTCCCCATCTGTCAACAGAAATGGTAATACCAGCAGGCCTGGTGTGAGGATTAGATGAGCAGGGGCTCTTAATCAGTTTTTTGCCTGTGGCACTTCTCTCTCAGGGGCCTCCTCTGGCTCTGCGGCATGCAAGTAGGTGGCTGGCTGGGGAAACGAGTGCATTGATCATTACCATGCTTCCATCATGGAAGGTAGCATGGGCTCTGGAGGGACTCAGGCTTTGGATGCTTCTAGGAGGGTGAGACAGATGGGCTTGGGCACTCATCAACACCCGTCACCCAGGACACAGTCAGGGTAATGCTGCAAGCCTGTCTCCCACAAGTCTCCAAAGCTTTGTGACACTGAGCCTCACTTTGCTCACCTGTACAAGGGACTTAGTGAGCCCTCTCTTTTATGGGGAGACTGGTGGTATGTAGATTCCTGCAGCCTCCTGCCAGGCACTGGGGAGGCATCAGTGAACCAGATTGGCCTCTGGGCCTTGCCTTCTGGTGGGTGCCCTAGCATGAAGTGTCTCCTAAGCTTTCCAAGATGCAAGGGGCTTTGAGACATGTCCAGGCCACAGGCATGTAAACACTGGCTTCTCAGAGTGCTGTGAACACCCGAGCAGCGTCTCTTCACCGGGCTGAGCCACCAGGCCAGAGAGGCGCTGGGTGCCTTTTGTCTTTGTTGATTGATGTTCCGGGGACAGTTTCACCTGTAGTGTCAATGCCTGGCCTCAGTGCACATAGATCTTTCAGGGGTGGCCTTGCCAGGGAGACTTGGGCCACCTATTTATGTTTCAATGGAAAGATTTGCTGCTTTTGCCAAAAACATCCAAATCCTCATTTCACATTGAAGGCATTTCCCAGTGAGAGGCTGCAGATCACTGTGGCAGGTTTGTTTAAGAAAGTGACTAAATGTGATTTCATAAAAGGCAAAGTTAATCTCCGAGGCAGCTTTGTCCTCAGCCTTCCACCCTCTGGCTCCCCTGGTTTTTTTTTTTGTTTTTTTCTGGGTTGTGATACTGCAGCAGGCTACAGTATTTTTATTTTATGTGTGACGAAAGATATTCTTGGCCTTTCTGTTCAGCAACAGGACGAATGGATTTCTTCATTCTAGAAGAAATATGTAAAATAATCCCTTAGAAGTCTAAAGAGATATGTTTGTTCAAAGCATTTAAAATGTTATTTTAATCAAAGGCACAAAACAGTCTACATGCTGTGTCAGCTGAAGGCGACCATCCCATTTTAACAGCACACCATGCGCCTGCCTTTCTAGTTCCCATTCCTCCTATTTCCCTGCCTACTTGGGCACCAACTTTTCTTTTCTTTTCTTATTTAATAAAAAGGAAAGATTAAAGAATAAAACTTCAGTGGCTCAAATGTATAAAGTAATTTAATATGGTGGGAGCATTAATTATTTTAGCTTAATTGAATTCTGAGGACTGCAGTGGTTGCATTTTTGTAGACAAGCCCTGTTTATTATTTCTCTGTGTAGATTAACAGTAAAGGAAACACAGATAACTTTCAGTTATTTATTGTAAAATAAATGTGTCAATTCATGTGTAAAGCAAGCTGCTCAGAGATAATTGAGTCTTTATATTTTAAGAGGGGGACTAGGAATCACGGGCACTTCTCCGCCCGGGCTTCCGGAAACCCGGCCAGCTGCTGCCCACGCTCCTGGCCCCCGGGCCGGCTGTCCCTCCATGCTTCTGCCTCCCGGCCGGGACTCCAATGAGTCCTCCAATCCCTCCATGACCTGCTATTGTCCCCAGGGCCTTGCTGGCCCTGGCCAGTAGCTGGTGAGTGGGTGGCTGTTAATTCTTGGACTCTGCCTCTGGCTTTGGCTGTCCAGGCGCAGAGGAGTCCAGGGTGAGGTGACCTCGAGGGTCCTGGTGGCCCTGAGGGTCCTGCCTTTCCCAGGACCAGCAACCTTCCCAATACCCAGGCAGGTCCCCGCTCTTCCTTGCTACGAGGTGCTTCTAGAAGTGGGGACTCCAGAGACAGACCCGAAGGGGGTTCCTCCCACCCTTAAGGGAGATCCCAGGGTGAGAACTGCAAGCGGATTCTGTCAATCATCACACTAGGTCGTGGACCCCATATCAGCTGTTTCCTCAGGACAGTCAATCTGGAGAGTAATTACTATTAATTTTTATTTTTGGTAAATGATAGAGAAGTGGGAAGGTAGAGGGAGGAAGTTTCTGAAGCTTTGTTTTCTGGAGGGCATTCATTCATTCATTCAGCAACTGAGCACCTGGGACCCTTCCTCCGCCCTGGGTGTCCCCACCTGGATCCCCAGGTAAAGAGCCCCCAGAGGAGGGAGCAGACGTCTGACATGGGGATAATGGGCAGAGCGTGAGCTGGCAGCAGCCCAGCTCTTGACGTGTGCATTCTGGGTCCAGGACCCGGCTCCCTGCTGAGCATTCGCTGTGGACAGAGGGAGGTCCTTGGAAGCTTGTTTCAGGCCTGTCTGGGGATGGGGCGAAGCTGATCAGAGGCAGGGTCTTTAGCCGATGGTCTGACTCAGGGCAGCTATGGTGCCTCTGATACATTGCTGCCTATAGGTTTACATTCTTTATGTTTCTTAAGGTTCCTGCCTGTGGCATCCTCCCTGCCTCTGTGGGGATTTGGGGGAGCACAGGACCCGTCCGTTGGGGGAGCTGAGAGGTGTTCCAGGGTTTGCAAAGGGCACGTGGCGCTGCCAAGCCGTTATCTGGGAGGGGTGTTTTGAGGACGGGTGAGGAGAAAGGGGCTTTCAGGGTGTTTGGGGTTTAAAGGCTGCTGCTGCTGTGTGGGAAAGAACACAGCCCCAGTCAGAGCCCCACCCTGCTCCCTGCCAGCCTCCGGCAGCGACGTGACCTTCTGAGCCGCGGTTTCCTCATCTGTCATTGTGACATTTATGATGAGTGCCTGGCACACGGTGGGGGTAGGTGTGCTGCAAATAGGAGCTTTTCCTGGCGCTCAGCTTTCCCTCCTCCGCGGCGTTTTCAGGCGTTAGAGCAGCTTGTACCGGTCTTCTTGGCACTGAGTTCCTGTCAGGGTTGGGACAAACCTCCACTGGGTTGTGGGACTAAATCCACCATCACAGGCAGTGTCAGCATGGGGGAGACTCTTCCGTCCGATCTGCCTTTTGTTAGGTGACTGTCCCTTGAGGATCTCTTTGCTGGCGGTGCACTCTGGGGAGCTGGCGGGGGGTTTCAGGGTGAGGGAGCACAGGCTTTGGCGTCTCCCGGGTCGAATCCCAGCCCCATCACTCACTGCTGGCCACCTGTGTGAGTCACTTCACTTTTCTGGGCCCACGTTTCCTCGTCTGCACCTCCTTTTGGGTTATGCTGAGGATGAAATGAGGAAGCACCCACCTGGCACAGGTTGGGCCTGAGGCAGATGATCGAGAAGTGGATGCTTCTGGAAAGCCAAGCACAGGAAAGCGTGGACCCTGCTTGGCAGCATGCCGAGCGCGTGCTTTCCTTGGTCATTTAACCTGGGATTGCTCTCACGGTGATTTCCTACAGGTTCCTCTGTATAATTCCCACTTGCTAGTCGCTGAAGGGGAGGTGCTTGATCACCAGGAATTTGGTTTTGTCTGTTATCAGCCCTTCCATAACCAAATGAAGCTACAGAGGGAGGAATGAACTATCAGCTGTCACTCATAAGCCTGCCTCCCTAACCCTGCAAGTCCCAAATGTCAGTTTTCTGGAGAAGTGTGGAGATAGGCAGCAGGTGACAGGAGGTGGCAGATCCCCCTGGGCTTGGAGGTGGCAGGCAGCCCTGGCTGCAGTGCCCCTGCCCACTTGATATGTCCTCATCTGTAACCCAGGGAGGACCCGGGATGTACCTGGGAGATTCTCTTAGCAGGTGGGGCATAGACAGGGTTTGGTTTGGGGTCCCAGTGACCCATTGCTAAGCAAAACGTGTGAGAGGAAAGGACTTCTGACGAGCCCAGGAATTTACATGCTGCTTTGAGAATGTTCTCTCCAGACTTTTAAAAATAAATAAAATAAACGTGAAAAAAAATAGTAGCTTGACCAGTGAGAGAAACGAAATCACTTGCTTGTGCTGGAAACTGGAGATAAACCCCACTTGCAGGTCGCCTTAGAAAACTTGTGCTTGATCTATTTAGAGTTGTTATTTTCCCTTCAAATTAAGATGAGTTAAATCCATGTGTGTGGTGGCATGGATTATCTTTTTTTATTATTAAATCGTGACAGCTAATTATTAGTTCTGTCTGCACCGAGGAATGGTGCGGTGTTCTGTCTGAGGGACATGGCCCTGGGCTCAGGCTGGGGTCTGGGTGTTGGGATGACTGAACAGGGCAGAGTTCGGGCTGGGCTGGTGGGTGGTGGGGAAGAGGGGGCGCTACCTGGTATCCCTCATTGTGCTAGATCCTTTTCTTGGGTTATCTCACTTAATTCTCCAACCTTGAAATATATATTTCTAACCCCACTTTGAATTGGGGCTCAGAGAGGTTAAGGGAGTTGCTGAAGGTCACACAGCAAAGCAGAGTCACACCCGGGTCTGTCTGGTTTCCTTGGATAGCAAGGGGTGTGGAGGATTTTGGGGATGGGTATTCTAACTCTGTCTGTCTGGCTGGTAGGGCCTTGATGGCAGGCACTACCTCTGACCCCATCCAAAATGGTTTTTGGAGCCCATCCCAGATAGGAACCTGTGGACACAGCCAGGAGTCCTCAGACCCCCAGGGACTGTGACCTGCAGTCTGTGGCTTTTGTGTACACTGTCCTGTACTTCCTAATGAGGGCATTGGAGAGATCAGTGATGACAAAGAACGCAGTCCAATGTAAATTCAGGTGCACCTGGGCCGGAATTTTAGATTTTTTTCCATATATTCAATTATTTCTTTTATTTTATATTCACTGTTGTATAGACTTTTCCCCCATACATACAAATTATTTGTTTTATTTTGTGGAATTGTGGTTTTGCCAGGGACTTGCTATGTGACTGTCAGCCAACTGTTCGCCTCCCCAGGTCTTGGTCCCTATAACTGGAGATACACTCCTTGTGTTTTGGGCTTGTTATAAGGTTTGATTCAGACAAGGTATACATAGAACAGGTTCCTGTGGGTTTTAGCTGTTGTTAATAATGCACATCCTACCCGTGGGATCCAGAGGAAGGGTCAGGCTTCCTAGCCTCCCGGAAGGACCTTGCTGCCAACTCTTCCCTTTTCACCTGCTCAGTAACTTGCCTGAGCTTACGTAACTAGTTACTGGCAGAGCTGAGTCCAGACCCCAATTACCTTGAGTCAGGACAGGTGACTTTTTGCCATCCCAGGGTGCCCAGCCCTGTAGCTTGAGGCCATCTCCCCTGGTGGAGTCCCATTTTTCTCAGCTGAGAAAGGGGGTGAGCCCTTCCTGTCCCGCTGGCCTTCCAGGGAGACGGCGGACCCACCTGCCATGTGAACTGTGCAAACCAGCGTCAAGAGTGTGTGCAGCTAAAATAGGTGACATCAGCACCAATTGTAGTTGAAAGTTTTTTGGATTAAAAAAAAGAGACCATACTGGTCACATAAATGGGTGGTTTTTTTTTCCTCTTAAGGTTTGAGGCCTTATTTATAATGTACGTGGTTCCATACTTCCAGCAGTAATTCAGGAAACAGGAGAGAGAGATGAGGTAAGAAAAAGAGAGAAAGGCAGCTGGGCTCCCAAGGGGTGAACTTAACCAACATTCAGCCTGAGTTAATACTATTATTCTTAGTTTGTCTATTTGACAGTAAATAGTTAGTAATTGACTAAAGTTTTTTTAATCACGCATTTGACAGCTTTTTTGGGCGGTTGTTGCTCATTTTCATGCTTGGCTAATGCATTAACCACCAGGTCTAGAATCTGTTAGGAGTGGGTTCTGCTGATAATCTATAGAAATAAGGCTGGCTGTCTGTCACCCCATCTCTTTGGGGTCATCTTTTCACTGAGGAAACAAAGAGATTGAGTTTTTCATAATTTCATGTAAAATTTATGTATTTATTTTTGAGACAGAGTCTCGCTCTGTTGCCTAGGCTGGAGTGCAATGGCGCGATCTCAGCTCACTGAAACTTCTGACTCCCAGGTTCAAGAGATTCTCCTGCCGGCTGCGGTGGCTCACACCTGTAATCCCAGCACTTTGGGAGGCCGAGGCAGGGGGGATCACGAGGTCAGGTGATTGAGATCATTCTGGCTAGCACGGTGAAACCCTGTCTCTACTACAAATACAAAACATTAGCCAGGTGAGGTGGCGGGTGACTGTAGTCCCAGCTCCTTGGGAGGCTGAGGCAGGAGAATGGTGTGAACCCGGGAGGTGGAGCTTGCAGTGAGCCGAGATCATGCCGCTGCATCCCAGCGTTTCTTAAGGCACTCATCAACACCCATCACCCAGGACGCAGTCAGGGTAATGCTGCAAGCCTGTCTCCCCCAAGTCTCCAAAGCTTTGTGACACTGAGCCTCACTTTGCTCACCTGTACAAGGGACTTAGTGAGCCCTCTCTTTTATGGGGAGACTGGTGGTATGTAGATTCCTGCAGCCTCCTGCCAGGCACTGGGGAGGCATCAGTGAACCAGATTGGGCGAAAGAGGGAGACTCCATCTCAAAAAAAAAAAAAAAAAAAAAAAAAAAGATTCTCCTGCCTCCGCCTCCTGAGTAGTTGGGATTACAGGCGCCTGCTTGGCCAATTTTTGTATTTTTAGTGAGGTGGAGTTTTGCCATGTTGGCCAGGCTGGTCTCAAACTCCTGTCCTCAGGTGATCCGCCTGCCTCGACCTCCCAGACTGTTGGGATTACAGGCACGAGCCACCGCACCCAGCCTGATGTTGAATTTAACTCATACTTACTGGATCTTACTTTGTGCCAGACACTACTCTAAAGACTCTGCAGATACTAACTGGTGTAATCCTCCCTGTGACCTTATGACATACTAATATCAGCCCCGCTTTATAGAAGAGGAAACTGAAGCCCAGAGATGTTAAGTTATTTACCCAAAGTCACATAGCGGTGAGTAGGGTCCCAGGGTGTCAACTCTGGCAGTTCTGTTCTTCACTGTGGTCGTAAGTGTGCCCACATTCCCATCCACTCTCTCTGTCCCACGAGGGTGGTAAATCAGATATTACTTTCATTTTGCAGAGGAGGCAACTGAGTCATAGAGAGGTGCCTTGCACAGTTGTCCTGTGAGTCACCGGCTCAGTTATGCCTAGAGACCAGGCTCCCGGGAGGGAGAGCATTAAGAAAAATAGCGAATGCATGCTGGGCTTAATACCTAGGTGATGGGTTGATAGGTGCAGCAAACCACCATGGCACATGTTTACCTATGTAACAAACCTGCACATCCCGCGCATGTACCCCAGAACTTAAAATTAAAATAAAGAAAAGAAGATGGGCTCCTGACTTCCCAGGGAGGCCCTGGGTCTTCACTGGGTCATGTCCCAGGAACCCAGGCCTCATGGGATCCTGTGTTCTTGAACTGGGGCTGGTGCAGGCCCTTTCTGCTCCTGGCTGGGCAATGAGTGATTTCCACTCTGAGGTCGAATCTTGGTGATGGGACTTGGGTTCCAGAGTGGGGTGAAAGAACCAAGACAGTGGGCACCTACCTGTCCTGTACATATCGGTAGTCGCGTGTTGACTGCATTTGGGGAGGAGCTGGCCCCCTCCTCGTCATGAGTTATAGGCAAGTGGCCCTGTTGAGTCCAGAGTGGGGAGAGGCAGACACAGTGGACTCTGGCCTGAGACCTAGAATGGCATCCTACTGTGGCTGGCATGCTGTGTGACCTTGAGCAGACGGATCTTCCCCGTCTCTGGGGCTGAGCCTGCTGGGCTGAAATGTGAGATGGAGCCACCAGTGGTTTCTAACAGCTGCAAGAGCCAGGCAGAAGGTCATGGATTGCCCACCTCGATTCCTTTCCCACCTAGTCGTTTCCCCAACTTTCCTCATTTTTCACATTAATGAGACTTAGGAGTCAGTTTTCTCTGAAGAAATTGGTGGTGAATATGAAAACTGTTAGATTGAAAGCTTAGGTCTTTCTGCCCCAGGCTGTGAAGATCCGTCTGGGAGAATTTGGTCCACTCACTGTGAGGTTAACAGTTCAAGCTCAGAGCCCCTCATGTGACCAGGCCCTGTCCCTAATGTCCCTGTGTGGTTTGGCATTCTTTTCTTTGTGATGAGTGTACCCTGAATTGTATAAACCTTGGGCCCTGCAAGATCTGGACCCACCGTGGCCCAGAGCCTGCTGGGGGTGGCCAGTGACCTCTGGGCACACAGGGAGTGGGAGCCTCCTGAGGGCAGGGTGTGATCAGGACTTGTGAGCCTTGAACTGGACCCAGGGAAGAAGAGGCCTTGCTGGAGAAGGCAAGGCACCCTAGGCTTCATTTTATTTATTTCTTTAAGTTTTCTTGATGCCTTCTTGCTGGTCTGCTCGACTTGGTCTGTAGGGCCCTGGGGTGTCTCAAAAGGAGGAATCTGTGCTGAGGGTTGGGAGAGGAGAGCAGGGAGGGAGGGAGGGAGGTGGGACCCCTTGATGAACCCCAGGTCTGGGAAAGCATCTGCCCCTGGCTGCTCAGACAGCTGGGAAGCTGGGACCACAGACTTCTCTGGGCGGAAAAATAGTAACAAAATAGCCTTTTTGTTGGAGGTGAAAAGTCAGACTACCCCACTCCTGGTGTGGAGAGAAGGCAGCTATTCAGATGCACCAGCCAAGGGCAGGGTGAGCCCCCCAGCCCAGGACAGCCTGCTTGGTCTCTAAGCCAAGGCAATATTTGATCAGGGCTGTTTTCCCCCATCCCCTGCCCTGGGGGCTGAGAGCCTGGGCAGCTTCCATGGCCTTCAGGTTGGGGGAGTAGACACAATCTCAAAGGTGCAGGCATACAGGTGCGTGGGTCAGAGTCTACTCAAGATGAATCCAGAGGCACAGAGCCCTAGGGGCTGGTAGCCCCAGTGCCTAGGCTTTGCCTCTAGTGATATGGCACAGACGAAGCCATCTGTCGAGACCACAAGAGTGTCCAGAAAACACGGGTCTACCTCCTGACGAAGGCAGGTGCCAAAGGCACCCTGGAAAGGAGTGGAGAAGGTGGCTTTATTTCAAAGTCTTTTTCAGGGCAGAGCACATCTTCTGGAGAGTGTAGCCAGCCAACCAGGGATTCCAGGCTCCTCCCTTGGGGTTTGAGGGCAGAGACTGGCTGTCCTGGGCTCAGAGAGACAGCAACTGTCTGAATTCTTCTCTGTTCAGGAGAAAATGGGACAAACCTTCAGCGACTCCTTCCCACCTTCAGCAGCTGGCTAAAAACTGTTGACGTTGGTAAACCCAGCAAAACTAAGTTTTCCTGGGGCTGGAGCTGGTTCTTTTCTCCTCCCACCTCAAGTTCAAAGCCAGCCAATTAAGAAAGCTAAACAGTGTGGTCTTCTCTCTGCATCATTGGCTTGTAAAACTTTCCCTGCAAACTAGGCGACTTTATTTGTTGGGAAAACGAAGTATGTAATTTTCCTGACCTGGCCTTTGCTTTGGGGAGACGGGGAAAGAGAGAGAGAAGTAATTTCCAGAAACAGACGGCCCCGAGGAGCAAAACAAGGTCCACACTCCAGCGTCAGGGCAGCGTAGACTGCAGCGCGGTGGTCGGGAACGCTGAAAACAGCGTGTTGCGGAGAGGCGGGACGCGAGGCCCCAGGCTGCGAAGTCCTCTGGGGCCTGGGTCACTGTCTGCGGGGTGGACATCGAAGTCCTCCTAATTCTGCTTCTGAACCTCTGGGCGCCACCTGCCTCCCCACTACTGCAATTTTCCGGTTTCCTCGACGATTGCAACTTGCAAGTCTCCTTTCGCTTCCTTCCATCTTCAGCAGCCCCTTCTCAAGCTTGGCCTCCTCCCCTCCCCGCGACGGTGCCTATCCCGAGCAAATCATAACCATCCCCTCCGCCGCCCGTGAGACGGCCTCCCCCTGCCCGGCCCGCAGGGGACTCAGGCCCTCCGAGGGTTCAGTGGTTGGGGTCTATAGCCCCTTTCATTGCCACACCGGAGAACACAATGGCCTTCCCTGAGGCCAGGGGCGCAGAGCTCCGCGGGGGCAGCTGCATCTCCCCGGTCCCCGCACCCGGCACGGCGCGGACACTTTGGCAACTTCAAAACTGCGCGGGGGCCTCCCCTGTGAGCGGTGCCCCTTTCCCGGCTGGCCCTGGCCCGGTCGGG